GCCCCCACTCTCTTCTCATGTATAAATTATGACCTGTCCTCATGGGGAGCTTTTGAATGTGCGTGGGAAGTGTTCAAAAACTTACAATGTCTCAGCAGCCTGTAGAGGGCTTCCTTTGGCCTTCTACTGGAAAGAAACCTGTTAGGTTTTTATCAGTGAGCACAACTGTTCTGGGTTGTTCTAGTGAACCTTTAAAGTAAGTATCAAAAAAAAAAACAAGAAAGAGAGACTATAAGAATATACTATGCAAAGATGCACATATACCATTTCTGCGCCTCTGGACATAGGAACATACTGTAAACAGTGTTGTGATGAGAGATTCCAGTGACATCATTTGTTTTTAATTTGTAGTTAGGAAATTCAGATGGTACATTTAACTTAGAAAATCAAAGCTATAAATGATGATGGGAATATGATGACTGGTCTTTCTTCTTTACTTATTTTATTCAAGATATTGTTTAGAGACTGAGATGGTTAGGAAAACTTTATTCCGCCCTCTATTATTTGCTCAGTATAACAGAGGCATTAATAAGATCCTATTTTCCAGTTTCACTGGATTTTTTTTTTAACAACAGATTTCCAGGATAAATGATGGTGATGTGTTTAATTTCAAAGGAGACTTAGGAACTGTTTTTTTGGTTTTTTTTTTTTTTTCTTTTTCTTTTTTTTTTTTTTTAAATTCCATGGAACCAATGAGATTGTCATATGAGCCTGGTGACCTCAATTAAGTTGGAAGAGAAAAACAAAAACAAAACAAAACAAAACAAATCAAAAAGTTGTCTCCTGATCTCCACACATGTTCACATATCACGTACACATAGAGACAATTGTAAAACTTCAAAATTATAAAAAAAACCTTCTATTTTGTACTCACTATACTCTGAAAAAAAATACCACATTTAATCAGGTTTTTTCCATTTTTGTCATATAAAAGGGATCCGCTGCACAGTATGTCCCTGTCTTTATTCCCATTATCAGCATCAGTGAGGCTATGTCTTGACTCTCATAAAATATGGATAAAGAACTTAGGGGCTAAGAATAAAAAGATTATTTAATATTCCAATTTATCAAACAGATTCTGTTGCAAATTGGTTAGATTATTCCATATAAAACTTGTGTAGCTATAATAAAATGCAACATGTGTTTTTAATGTCTAATTTCTCAAACTAGAATTGGATTAAAGAAAAGTTACATTTTAGGTAATGAATGTATATTTTCTATTTTAATCTGAAAAGAATGAGAATTTGGCCTAGATAGTAACCCACAAATTAAGATCATTTCTGTCTTCCTACTAAATTAGTAAGGAATATAAGGTATAGTTATTTTTAATAAAGCTGTACGCAATGAAATTATTTATATATTAAATGCTACTTAAAGGGTGAAGGAATGTCAGGATCCCTGATGAATTTTAAAAAATTGAAACTTTAAGCAGTTTATGTGACCACTATAATTTAGTTTTTCGCTTGTTTTCTCTGCGGCATTATTTAGGTGCTGATACAGTACATCTGCAGTATCCACAGACAAACTCATGAATCAGCACTGCATGAACCCAGGGTCCGGCTGTTATCTGTGTTATAGGAGTTTAAACAAGGACCTGGCATTTCCAGATTAGACAATGTGAAGATGGAAAAGAAAACCATCTTTATATAAAGGGTACTAAAACTGGTTGGTGATGATGCACACCTTTAATCCCAGCACTCTGGAGGCAGAGGCAGGTGGATCTCTTTAAGCTCAAGGCCAGCCTGGTCTACAGAGCTAGTTCCATGACAGGCTCCAATGCTACACAGAGAAACACTCTCTCAAATAACCAAAGGGGGAAACAAACAAACAAACAAACAAACAGTACTAAGTGCAATGTTCTCTCACACTGAAGCAAAAGAATCAACAGCAGATGGAGCAATAGAAATAATGCATTGAGGGGCTGGAGAGATGGCTCAGAAGTAAAGAGAAGTTCCTGAGTTTAATTCCCAGCAACCACATAGTAGCACACAACCATCTTTAATGAGATCTGGTGTCCTCTTTTGTACTGCAGGATATATGCAGGAAGAACCCCGTATACATAATAAATAAAAATCTTTAAAACAAAGAAATAAAAAAAGAAAAAGAAATAATGAATTGAAGTAACTTATATACCCAATTTCAAGTTTCCTTAACATTTCATAGGTTAGGTAACTCTCTTAGTCTCCTGAGATATCTTGTCAAAACTAAAGACAAAGACTACAGGACTTTTATTTTTCCACTTTCTTAAGTCATTATATAAAAGAATATACTAGTTCACTTTAATGATAAAAGAGATATTTTCAATATCCACAAACATTTTTTTCTGAATTTCATTTAGTTTCATACTTAAGAACATGACCCTTATAGAAGTTCTCTAGAGATAACATTTCTTATCCTGATGTTCAATCCTTACCTGTTAAGAAAAAAAATGTTTATAAGAAACATCTTTTAAATCACTCACGCAGAAAAAAATTATGTAGAAGAATTAAGTTGCAGGAACCAACATCGAAGAGATAATACTTAAACCGAAAGACTCAATCGCCCATACTGTCAATAATGAATGCGAATCTCCCTCTTTCAGCTGTTAGGTACATAAGCTCAACATTTGCATATACAGTAAGTATCAAGAAAGTAAATGAAGCTTTAATTTCAGTTTAGAAAAAAAAACACAGGAAGGAAGGAAGGAAGGAAGGAAGAAAGGAAGGAAGGAAGGAAGGAAGGAAGGAAGGAAGGAAGGAAGGAAGGAAGGAAAGAAGAAAGGAAGGATATCCAGAGAAGGTGTTTTGCTTCTTAAATTATTTTTCTTTAGCTTTTTCCTCACCTATTAATTCCCAAACTAATTTTTGTATATGGTGGCAATTAAAATATATAATAGAATTTCTGACAGAAGGAAAGCGTGTTAGCTTATTAGCGCTAGCCAGTGCATGTGTGTCTTACTTCTCTCATACAATACGCATCTTGGTTGATGTCATATGCATTAGGCATTTGTCCAGGAAGACTATGAATTCATGAAGGACAGAAACCATCATTCTACCATAGACTTCATTAATCCAAACAGTACTTCAAATCCTTTATATGTGAGCCTCTGATATTATATTTATACAGTATAGCAGAGATAAAACATCAATTGTAAAGTTATTTTGAATTGAAAAAAAGAGCTTCCAAAATTTCAATCTAATTGCTCAATATAATATTAAGAAAAAAATTTAAGAAGTAAAACTAATAATTGGTGTGAAACTCATCCTTCATGCCTTTTGCTTTTCAAATATATGCATGCATGTATATATTATATACATATAATGTGTGTATTATGATGCACAGTCAAATATATGATCTATATATATATATGAAAAGCAAAATACCATATATACATGTATATGTGATGTCATCCAAGAAGTTGCAAGATCTAAATCATAAAAGAAGAAAATAAAATGAACATTGTTAATTTGTGAAATGTTTAGCAACAAAAATTTCAGTTTCTACTTTTAAATTTCCAGTTCCCAAATTCAAATGAACCGCATGAATATAAAAGTCAGTCATTTTCTTCTGCAGCATGAAAGATGGCTCACAGCTGTTTCTAGCCCTCCTTTCACAGGGCTCCTGCATTGGAGCCTAATTCTCAAGGCCAAAGTTGAACGAGTTATTCTTGGGAGCAAAACTAAAAAGGGAAAGCACAAAAGCCATAAAGAATGGAGCCACGGGGAAGTCAAGGAATGTTTGTTTAGGACATCGCTCATCTCCATCATCTGCCTGATTTAAACTTTTATTACAAAAGCTGCCTAATTACTGCAAATATTTTCCCACTAACAAAAGACACTTCGGGGATAAAAGTAACTTTTCATCAAATTTAATTTAAAAAAAAAATATCATGTCTTCCTATTCTCTACCCAAATTAAGGCTTTGCAGAAGATTGTTCAAGTCCATAGGAACCACATAAAGATCCTAACAGAGTACAAAGGTAGAGGATGCTCTGATCTGAGCCATGCAAGCCATCTTCGCTTCAATTAATTGACTTTGCCTTTATGAACTTAAGAATCTTTCAAAGGGGCTGACATTTCACTCATATGAAAAAGCTTGGAATGTGACAGAGGAAAGGGAGGAGAAGTAAATCAAAGAAGTGAGCAATTTTCCAGATGCAATGTATTTTTCTTCTGCCTTCTCTTAAAAAAAAAAAAAAAAAAAAGCTAGAAATGTTGGAGAGCCTCCTGACATCTTAATTCTCTACGCAAAACACAGTAGCAGAAGTGCCTGACCCACAGAGCGTCAGAACCAGACAGGCATGCATCTGAGCATGTACATACCCACAAAGCAAACCTTAGTTCCAAGCTCATGTTCCTTTGGTTGAAAAGTTACCCCGAATTTGCTAGATGTCTGTGTATGTGATTCAATCAACATCATTTTAGCACAAAAACAACATCATATTTGCTACCGTATCTTTGTTTTAATCACTAAGTCGCCATTTTCATGCTGGTCTCTGTACCTAGAAGTTGCATTTATAAAACCTGTCCAGTTGGCTAGACTTTAAATCACACCAGAATATTTCAGTTGTCACCTTTAGCCATATGCTTGCAAGAAACCATCCTCAGATATTTCATGCAAATACCGATCCATTCAGAAAGATTTCCCCCACCCTGCCGAGTAGAAATTCACTAAAACATTGAAAGGTTAAAAAAAAATCTTGAGTCTTGAAGATAAATTCTGAGCAACAGAGTATATGACCATTGTGTCTTGGAGCCATAGAAGGGGAAATGGCGTTAGTTCTCAAAGCCCCCTGGTTCAATATTGCCTTTTTCCCCCAGGGTTTTTCCTCGTTTATCAGGCATCATTTTACAAGGAATTTCTTGTTATCCACAACTAGCATAAATCAATCTATCACAGAAGGATTTGTTTAATACATTTATTCCTTTAAGAAGTTGCATGACCATATTTCATTGACTTGTACAATAGGAAAAAAAATCTTACTACTAAAACAGAGTTTGTGGAGGCTAGTGCATGGTAAACCTATTTAGTCCTTTCAGGGGTCCACTCCTAGATTTTCATGTTAAATAATAACAACTATTCATGTGAGCTGGTCTCACTGTATATCTTGACCTTTAGCCCATCCACACACAGCAGCTTATTGTGGTATCCTTTAAATATGAGAAATAAGAATGTTTTACTCTGCTATTAGAAGAAAAAATAAAAGAGTACTGTATGTTACATGGCCCATGAAATATTGGCGGTGTGCTCCTTCGCCTTCATTCTCAGAACGGCGATACTGGAAGACCTCCTTTCAAACTCTGGCTTTGTTTCGAATGCGTGTCCGTTGGTAGCCCCGGAGAGAAGAGAGTCAGTGAAAAAATTGTTGAGGGGCATGTGACCGAACTGGTTCTGGTGGTTTGAAAACCCCGTGTAACTGGAATCTGTCCGAGGCGAGTGAGAGTAAGGTGCCATGCAGGAGGACGCGTCACGTGGTAACATGCATGAAGTAACCACAGAACCACCACTTGCATTTCCTGCCCACAAATTGTTCTGAATCTGGAATACATGAAACAACAAATATTACATTCACACATTCTCACTTCGGCACCATTACTTTCCTTAGGTTTACAAACTGGGCTTAGCTATTCACTATTTGACCCTATTATAGGAGCTCGGTAATTTCTTTCAAGTATACAAAACAACGACTGGAAAAAAAATTATTGAAAAAGTCTTACAGTTTATTTACTATAATAAGTCAACAAAGCTTCACACAGAAGCACAGAAAAACTCCCAGAAAACAAAGTTTTCGTGAAATTTTTTGTTATAGTCATGATTTAAAATGCACATGAGCTATTTAGTCATGAATCATGGCTTCTTTTCATGCGTTTAGGGAAGGAGCATAAAGCATGATCTTAAATTTAAAGATAATATTAATCTTTCTAAACACAGTGATACGTTGGAAACTATAGCTGACTTTTACACAGTTTTGTCTGAAATGATATTTTTCATTGTATTCATTCAGAAAGTCCTTTTCTGTTTCCTTGCTCCTTGTGTCCTATATCGACCCTTCAAGAAATTGCTCCGAGATTCTGAAATATATGTACTTGAGGCATGTGTCCTACATTTTATATATTACATGGAGAATTCAAAACTGACATGTGTAATGTAAAACACACTTAGAATTCTAAAACATCAACCATGACCAAATAATAGAAGTACAGGTAAAAAAAAATTGCAAATGTTAGAATGTCCTGTGAGAAAAATTAAGGTACTGCACATGTAACAGATGTCCAAAGAGAGGTACGATTTGTGATCAACAAACTCAACATTCATATGAATATATATATATATATATATAAAACAATTAAAGAAAACCTTCAAGCACAAAGTTGTCAAAGTTAATGGCATATAAAAGGAACACTGCAAAGACTTTTTAAAATGAAAATTAAGTAAAAATATCTCATTGATAATAGGCAGAAGCAACAACAACAAAAACAAAAAACAGACACAGACCAAAGAAATTACTGGGATACACGTGGAAAGTCATGACGGGTGAAGAGGGCCAAAGGAGGAGTAGAGACATTTATGTGGTAGAGCCAGGCAGGGAGATGTAGTCTCGAGAGATGAATAAACCAAAAGGAGGTGCCTTTGAAGGGTGCTGTGCTCTTTTGCTTTGTTTTATGAAACAGAGACTGGCTCTATAGTGTAGATATGCCTAGAACTTGCCATGTAATCCAGGCAAGGCTCAAATTCCCAGTTTTCCTGAGTCAGCCACCTGAGTACTGGGATTACAGGAATACACATGACTCCAAGCGTGTTACTTCCAACAGCCTGATTATAATACATTTAAACAAAACATCGCACCAATGTGTATTGTCACCATATCTGGCTTTCTTCTATTTTTTGGCCATGATAAAGAATCATGAATGATTTTGACACATATGAAGTCTTGTAATTTGCATATCCCAGGCTTCTACATATAGCATCTGATATAGTCTTACAAAACCCGAGTTGAATAGCGCTCTATGACAACCTATATTTTTATCAATATATAAAGAGAAAGGTATTCATAAGTCTAGCTCAGACTGATAGACCAGTTACTCTGTGACTCAAAACTGAGTGGGGCATTTGTTTCCCAAACATAAAAAACAATGTACACACATGATTTTAACACTTTTGTAGGTACCTCACAAAAACACTTACTGAACAGCAATACTTATTCCTGTGCTGTTCTAAAATGGACTCCTTATGAAATAAATTTAAATTTTTATTTTAAACATGTATGTCACTTATGTATAAATATAAATTCATAGAGTTGACCGGTGTACCTATGTATAGATGTATATAATTATTTGCATATTGATTAATTCTTAAATCACCATGTGCTGTGTTGTTTTACTGTCTGCTTATTCCTCTCTCCAATTTCACATCAGACACAATGGTTGTTGGGCTATGTATTGCAAACCAACAAGAGGACTGTTTATGTCATTACTCCGTCAAACTAGCTATTCGCAACATTCAGTCGGACATTGTAAAACATTGCACAACCCACAATCACATGGGTGAAAAAAAAAGCTTTCAGAGAGGAAGGTAAACTTGTTTGCTTATTTAAGAATGAATAGTAATGGGAAAATTTACTCGCCTCTCTTTATTAAAGTGTTTCTTAATTCATAATGTCACTAAAATTTATTATATTCCACATGCCTAGAAATGTTCCCAACCAGTTACACAGTAAGAGGAAGGGGTAAAGGCAACTAAACAATCCATAAAGTTGAATAAAGAAAATATTTATTCTGAAAAGAAGTAACATTAATCAACTTGTAAATCTTAAAGAAAATAAGTCTGTAATCTATTCTCGTGAAAAACTAGGGCAAATGATTTTACATTAGCATAAACTTATCTGAATCTGATCAAGCAAATGAATGCATTATTTGTGATAGAGAAAATTTCTAACATGTAGGTGTATTTTCTGAGCAGACCAAAATGACACAGCCAATTACTCACAGCAATAGTTTAGTTTGGATATGCAAATATTCTGAAGAATTTGCAACTTCATCTCCTGCGCAGAGAACACTCAGGAACATTTTCTAATAGTCTTTCTTCACGCTGTCTCTCTATTCCTTTTTACTCCCATCCCCAAAGAGCCTTTGTTTTAAAAATATAATTTCAGGAATCTATTATGTTTCCATAGCAAAACATCAGGTGTAAATTATAAGGTAATATACCATAAGAAAACGTGTTTTTTTCCCCCCTAAAATATTTCCTCCGGGTATTCCCATATCTGACAAGGATGGCTAGGATCTAGTGATTGACAGCTAATAAACGTTAGTTAATTGCCATGTCTGTCATAAACTACAAAGACTTATTTTAGCACAAATACATGGGTGTTACAATCTGTCCTTTTTAGAAGGTAAGTCTAAAAAAAAAAACAAAAACAAACAAACAAATAAAAAACAGAGACCTGAGACTTTTAGCTCAACTGAATGACCAATAAGGTCAAATATGACCCAAAGAAATCAAAGATACTAAAATAATGTGACTATTTTTGAAAGTTATAAGTGCTTATTTATTTGTGCATATCTCCAAGTTTGTAATTCAAAGGTTCTGCTCTATGATAGCAAATTGAATGATTACTGCTCATTATTATTTTACTTCTCTTGGCCTTGAAGACAAATCCTTCATAGAATATACTATATGATTTAAATGTTCCTAAGAAAGTGAAATTTAAACAGACCAAATACTGAAAGTATGATAAAAATTTAGGAATTCCTTGTATTAACATAGCTAATGCACGTTTATGGTTGGAAATCTAAATCGTCATAAAAGTAGAATCATAACCAAGATCATATTCAGAGGCTTCTATCTTGCTATCTATTTTTACCAACTGTATTTTTTGTCATCAAAAGTTATTTCCCATCCCAGGTGCATTTAGGAGGTATTTAATCATTATGTATGTGGTATCAGATCATGGAATCACTGAGCAATGAAAAGACTAACTCAGATAAAAATGAGGACACAACTTGAGTTCCTACTTAGTAGCTCTAATTTTAATTTTAAAACACTGAAAATGGTATATCAAATACAAGGGTTTTTGAGTCAATTTCCATTTCTAATTCTTAAAAAATATACGTATTGGGTATACAATGCAATGGATTGAAGTTAAATTATATATTCACCAGAAAATCCTCTACTAAAATAGTTTCTCTCTTTTTTTTTTAAATTAAATTTCACCTTGGAAATGAAAACAGGGATTTGGAAGTAAGTGTGCTCTCTCCATCTTGAAATCACTATTATATGCAGCAGGATGATACTGACAACATGAGGAAAAGCTACACAACTCTCACGTCACTGAAAACATAACAGCACTGTTTCTTAAGAAACTGAATGCCTAGTAACCTTCAAAGTAGCATCATATAAATGTCTTTAAAATATTACTCTAACAAATTCTCTGACTCAAATATGTAACAGTTGATTCTTTGTCTTTGATTTTTGAGTACATTCTTCTTATCTTTTATAGAATTTGTAATAACTGAAGATGATTATTTATGGGAAATCTTTCCATATCAAAATTATTTCAGTTGTGAAGGAGTAAATAACAGAATTTACTTTCACTATTTTATTTTTATGAGGCAATTATGTGCAGATAGTACATTTTCCAAACATTTCTTATACTGTTTCTTCATCAATTTCGGTGTGTACATGAGTTACTCTGATCTAACTGTACTTAGTTTATTCTTCATAACAATTATTTTATGAAATTCACAATTATGGTAAAAAGCTAAAATGACCATTTATTCAACAAGTTGACTTTATGCAATGTAAAAATCTATAATATGAAACAAGTATGCACGTGCCTTCATTTTTCCATGTTTTCATTCTTATCTACTCCACTTTGGAGTCAAATATTATCATTGAATATATTCATTCGCGCCTGAGCAAGTTTGTTAGTTTTATTTTTTTGCTGGTGGTTTATTTGTTTCATTTTGTTTTCCTTTTTTTTTTAAAATTTATTTATTTATTTATTTATTAAGGATCCCGCGATGGAGCATGGACTGTCCTGTCGCTTCCTATGTAGACCCAAGTTGCCCTCCAATTCAGAGACCCATCTTCCTCTGCATCATGAGTGCTGGTATTCAAGGAATGAGCCACTTGGCGATTATACTTATTTTTGAATTGCTTTTTATTTTATGTTAATATTTTAAAATATTTTTGAGATTAAAAGAAAATACATCACTTTCTTCTTTCCTTTTTCATCCTCCAACACTTTCTATGTCCCATCCCTTGATTCCTCCCAAACTCATTGCTTTTCTTTCATTGCTGGTGTGCTGTCTCCACCCACCACCTCCCCCCCACACATTCACACACTGTACGAAAGACAAATTAAAATTTTATGTTTGTCATTTTTTAATTAACTTGAATTTTTATACAATTATTTTTTAATAGCTATGACTTTCATTTTGAAAAATCTATAAAGACATGAGGAATTAAAAATAGCATTTGACCCACCAGGGCAGCAAGATGAGAAACCATGTCAAAATGATATATACTAATTAAAT